TAAATATATAATATAATAAAGAAAATTAAACCCTATACAACTGTCCACTTTCCCCTTCCTCCCATGAAAAAGCACTGTCTAATATTTCTACCACAAGGCAAAAACTAAAGCATGAACTCATAAATTGAATCACTATATATGATTCAAAGAAACTCAACAAATACACTTACTGACGGTTATTTCAGTGTCTTGACATAAAACTCACCAAATGAGATCAAAATTCCAATCACTCTTACAAGATTAAAATTAATGTAATTATTAACTTCGGATTTGGGAATCACCATTAATGTAATTGTTAATTTTGGATTAAGCAAGCTTGAATCGACATCCACTTTCCACAAGCTCGGATTAAGAAAGTTTGATAATAAAGAGTTTATTCTGATGCACCGATGCCCAAGAATCAAAAATTACATTACAAGAATACAAGAAATATGAAATTTGTTGCTATTAATTTATACTTGAAAGAATAATAAATTGCCTTTTTAATTATCAATGCAATGACATATCCAATAAATAATAATCGTGAAGCAACAAGCCTGAACAAGCCTGATAGAATATCGACTCCTCATCTTCTTCTCTTAGGCGTTGAGTTTTGATTTTGCCACTCACGTTTTCACTTTTCAGTTTCACGAACGCCAATGCCCAGGCCATCAAAACTGATGTGGCGTGGATAAATTTTGGGCCCATATACATTATACCCATAATAACAGATGAACTAAACATTAAGCCCGACCTTTGGGCCGGCCCATGGTGGTTCTAATCACTAATGTACCATTTGTTTGGATGCATGCACATGGTTGGTACATATATAATTATATATGCTTTGCCTGTCTTTGCCACAACTCACAAAGCCGATCTCCTTCAAAAAAAAAAAAAAACTGATTGTTGGAAGCTTTTTTTTTTTTTTTTCAAAATTAACTATGTAAATACCATACATTGTATACAATTTTCATACAACTATTTTACGTTTTTATTCTCATAAACATATTACAAAACACTCAAAAGATGGAACCTTTTTGGGTTCATCTTCATCTTCATCAGACGACAAGATGTTTTTCAACACATTTGTTCAAGCGTTAGGCAACATGATCGATCAAGAAATGGAAAGTTTGAATGTCATCTGAAGGAACCGAGTTGTAATAAACAAAGATCGAGCATGTGCTAACGAACTTCTGGTAGTGATTACTTTGCTGATGATTGATTGTACGACCATAAGTCATCCAAACGATGGTTCCATTTGAGTAGACAAATATTTCTATACATAGCTAATGATTTGGATACAAATTCTTTCAATTGAGATAGGATTATAGAGTAGACGAAATTTTACTACACTTTAAAATTATACACTCGCAATTCGGCTTTTAGCATACAACATCACTACCGACGCACCAAATGAATATATGAAGATGTACGAGATAATAGGACGGGAACGTTCATATTTGTTTTGTGAATATGTTATAGAGCTTTGCAAAAACATATACTTGCAAGAAACCTACAAGAAGTGATGTTGAACAATTGTATGATACACATAAAGAAACATGCAGTTTCCTAGGAATGTTTGGAAGTATTTATTGTATTATGCATTTCGCATAAGAAAATTGTTTCAATGCATGACAAAATCAATTCATACGAGGTGATAACTTAATCCTGTAATATTAGAAGTAGTGGTGTCACATGATCTATGATTTTGTCATTCATACTTTTGTATGGAGGTTAAACAATGACATAAATTTTCTTAACGAGTAGTTGATATTCAACGATATTTCGCTGGGAAAAGAACCAATTTGTTGTGGATGGAAATCAATACACGCATAAGTATTACCTTGCCCATTGCTACAAACTCGTCTTAAACAGTTGTGCTATTTGATCTCCTAATTTTTATAAAATCAAAGTTTGAACTCCATTGATGATTTTCACTAAAACGATTTGGTGACATTTAAAATCATCAATAAATAACTTATAAACACCTAAAATAAAAAAAAAATAACGACATAAGATTATAAAACTGAAAAACCAAGCAATTAATTCCTTTACACGATAGAAATCGGCTCAACCATACAACACTAAATGTCACCTGTTAATGTGAAATAATTGATTTTTTTTCTATATAAAAGTTTTTATAAATAGATGAAATACTTCAATAATATAGGGATACATTTGACGGAGTCTGACATAAATAATATAGAGACACATACTATCTCTCACTCAATTATTGCAATTTATATCGTGAAAGAAGCAAATAATACAAAGCCAAATATGTAGACATATGAAAATAAAAACAATGAGGAAAGACAAAAATAGGTGAAAATGGAGGTCGAGGTCAGGTCCAAAGTAGTTGGGGCTCAGCCACTCATTAGCCTGCTTTTGGTCTTCGTAATTGATTTGTTAACCCATAACACTTGTGTGTACGATATTAGATGTCCTAAATCAATACCATTGGCTTTGTTAGGATGATGTGTTACAAATTAATCGGTTATAATAAAATATTATGTTGTTAAATCAAACATTCAGTAGGATTAAATTATGTTAGCAATTTGACAATAAGATTTGTTTTTCTTCTTCCATATATTTTTATATTTTATCAACAAAAAAGTTCTCTAAAAAAACACCATAACTTATTCAGTTATTTTAAAAATAGCTCATTAATTTTGAATTTGCAAAGTTTGCCATTTTGTATTTCAATAATTAAGAGGCATTTGTTTCTAATAATGTTTTTGGAAAGAAAATATGTCAAATGAGAGTTTCAAAGAATTAAAATATGTTATTCGTGATAATAGAATCATTTTTTTGTTTGGTTTATAAATTTATCAAAAAAATTAAAAAATATATTATGTCATATGATCAAAAATTCAAAATGACAAAAATACCATTTTTATCGTGATGGGGTTGGGTGTACAAGTGTGGGTGGATAGGTGTGAAGTGAGGGTGGATGATTAATCTTTCATGTTTTTGTCAAAAAAAAAAAGGTCAATTTTTGATAGAACTTACATTTTAGTCTTTCAAACTCCTTCCAAATTAGTAAACAAACACATCGTAAATTCTTCATGGGTTTTGTGATTAATTATCGAATTTTAATTTTTGCATGTGATCACCATTACAAATGAATCATGATTGTTAATTATTTTAAGATATGTGGACAACTTTATTGGGTGTCTTTTGTTTTATGAAAGCAAGATAAGAAGAAGAATATTCGAAAGTGAAAATAAAAGTTAGAAAAGGAATAAAGATATCAAAATAAGCCTAAAAAGAAGAAACACAAAAGAATGGAAAAAAATAGTAATAATTATAATTAAAGGTTTTGGGTGATAAAAAACAATGGACAACAGTACAAACAATTAGTGGGATTTCCCTGCCTCACAAGTCACAACTTACCCACTTCTATTTGTCCACCTCTTTGAATTTATTCCATTTTTATTTTTAATTTCAAGATCGATCAAGTACTCCAGTGTTTCATGACTTCATCTGTGTTACGATCGTTATAACTTAATCGAGTGAGACTGCAGTTTTGACTATTGTCTCATTAAACGCACATGCTCTGACTATGGTTGTTTGAAACTGCTTATTTAAAACAAACTTATTATTTTTTAAGAGTTTAATAGTTTATTCAATGTCCAAATAGAATTTAAAAAGGAATGTTTGGATTAAGTATAACACGAAATAACTTGATAACTTGATAAGTCATTTTGCTAGTGTTCAACAAATTTTGCACATATGTGTATTAAGTAAAGTAAACTTACAAAAACTACTTATTTAAATAAATAAGCAAAAAAAAAGTAACTTCAAAAACTTTTTATTCAAGTAAGTTCAAAATATTAATTTAAAACTCATTATTTAAGTCAACAAGTAAAAAGAAAATAACTTATCAAAAACCTTTTATTTAAGTGAATAAATATTTTTGATATTTTTCTATTTAAAAACTAAAAATAACTTATTATCAATGTCAACTGTAAATAAATAAACACTTCAACTAAGCAATCTCAAACACCTCTAGTCGTTTTCATCACCTGGTGTTTAAGGTGCTATTTTTACTTAATAAATTTCGAAAAAATACATTGTTTAAGTTCTTCAATTATATACGATTTTGTTTCTAGCTTAAGTACATATATAACGATTTATAAAGAAACTAAAGAATATAGTTTTTCTTATTCAACATATCTTTTTAAAAATTTGTACTCCATCAATTTTTTGAATTTGTAAGAGGCTATTTGTTAACATTTAAATGGCATCATTTAGAGATTGTCTACTAATTAATCAACATTCAGAATGTTTGGTATAACCTCTAAACAAATTAAGAGCCTCATATTCACCTTTAAAATCTAAACAGATAAACAACTTAACCATTAAAATAAAATGGTGAAATTGAATGATATCATTTAGAAGTGACATATGAATCAGGCGACATTGAGATTCTTTGATATAACATATTAACATCCGAGCAAATTCAACCTTTAAATAGTTAAACAACATTGCGTTCTCTAGACATCTAACCAATATTTACCAAACAACCAAAAATATGCCATTATATTTTCAACATTAGATATAATTTTATATAGACAACAATTCATTTCGACAACACTATTATGTCTAATTTATTGCATTTACGTGTTTTCTTAGATAACGCGTTATCATCATAGACAATTGTCGATAAAGTAGTTCCCCATATTTAATTACCTTGACATACTTTATTTCTATTCAAAATTCTAGAACATAAGTTGTATTATTGTTTTCCCAATAACCGTTTGTAGCCTTTTTTTTTGTTAGTTTTATTTGTGGTTGAATGAAAGAGTGTTACTAACTTACTATTCATATACAGATTTGACAAAAATAATATGTATCTAGTAAAAATAAATATTAAAATGATCACCAATCAATTGGTCACATGGTTGTCACGTGACTTTCCTAACGAAGATGCACATTGCATCAGCCACTTATACCTTATGCAATTTTCATGATAAACTTACCATAAATGGAAGTTGGACTTTTCTTCAATTCCAAATATGTACGCATTTGAAAGCAACCAACCATGCAACCACTCTCCAGTCAATCAACAAAACTACAAACCAAAACCACTTCTCAAACTAAAAACCCAAATCCAGGAAAGCGTACAACTTTACATGCAGGATATACAACCCCTAACAAAACAAATTTCCTGGATTTAGCAATCATAGCTCTGGATTCCGATCGACGGCGACAAAACACAAAAAGTCCGTCAGTTTAACTCCGCCGTGATGGGATGAATGTCTTTAAGCATCCCAAGAACCTGCTGCATCGTGGGTCTTTTCCCAGGCGTCTCCGCCGTGCACAGGTACCCAACACGGAGGCACTCCACCATCTCACTCACTGAGTTATCCCCGAGTCGCAGCCTCGAGTCCAATGCATCCACCCCTCGTCCTTCCCTTACCAACTTCCTCGCTTTCACCACCGTTTCTTCCGACCCCGTTTGACCGGTCAAGAGCTCGATCAACACAACGCCGAAACTGAACACGTCGGAATCGGTGGTCTGTGCATGGACTCGGTCATGGTCATGACTCAGTCCGATGCCGGCGATTCGGGGATCGAGATAATCTGATAGGAGGATGTTGGAAGGAACGAGGTGGCCATGCACCACCGGTGTGGATTGAGCATGGTGGAGATAGGCTAGGCCACGGGCTATTCCGATGGCTATATTGTGACGTGTACGCCACTCCATTTTTTCCGGCGATGATGAATCGACGGGATACTCCCACGTATCGGTGCTCCAGTCTTCCACGTCAGTTTTGCCGGTTGGGAGCTCTTGTAGCCACCGGTGGAGATCGCCGTTGGCCATGAACTCGTATAACACCAGCTTTTCCTTGCCTATCATTTGCAAAATAACATTATTCAATATTTTATGTAACTCCAAAATTTAAATAAAATGGTGTGATTTCAAATTTTGGAAAACTTAAATGTGAATTTTTTTTTTGGATTGAATCCATAATAAATGTTGAATAAGTGCAATAAATTCTAAACACCCAACAAACGTACTCAATGATCTTTGAAATAACACTGCACTTTAAATACAAAAGAATAACTATTTAATAAATATCCCTACAAATATCATACAAAGTAGTTGAAATTCATTTTATTATATAAATGATTTCACCCTTTCTATACTACTTCACATGTCTTGTAGCAATTTCGGGAAGTATGTTATCAATGTTGCATGTTGCATACCTTTTTGCTTAAATATTTGTATTATATAATATAATGCATAACTTCTTTTAAACCAACTTTAACAAGTGGGTATATATATATATATATATATATATATATATATATATATATATATATATATATACCCAGTTGGTTTAAAAGAAGTTATGCATCATAATGATCGTTTTTTGGAGTACTTGTATTCAAAATTTGTGCTTTTTTGTAAATTTTCTGACCAACTTTTCATCTCTGGCCTTTCCTGCCCATATCTTCTAGCCTTCACATGTTCAGATTTGACTTTTACAAATATGGTCAAAATTGAAATACGTGGTAATTTCTTTTAATCAAGTACACTACTACTAGACAACTCAATCACGAAAGCCTACAAGTAACAACCAATAGGGGGCAAATTAGCCATTTAGGACCTCAGAATGCCCATTACTCATTGACAAAAGTTAATATTAACATGAGTTAATATGATAAGTTATAAATATTTGTTTCATGAAAGCGACTTAACAAAAAAATAGTCAGAAAATGTGCGTTCAAGTCGATGTTGTTTTAGCTTTTGGACTTGGTGTTGGCTCATTGTATTGTAGCGTAATAAGATTGTAGTCGTGAATTTTGCAAAAATGGAAAAGTAAATGTGAAAAGACGAAACTAACCTGCAATGCAGTAACCAGAAATGGGTAACAAATTAGGATGCTTGAGCTTTGAGAGGTTTTCAAACATAGCTACAGCATCATCATGACTCATCCCTCGAGCATTCTCCAACACCTTGACAGCCACGTGGATCTCACCTGGCAATACGGCTCGATACACGGGCCCACACCTGCCTTCTGCCAGCAAGGACTCTTTCCCAAACTGTGACGTGGCAGCCATCAGGTCTTTGAAAGTAAAACTCATCAATGGCTTCTCAAACATCACCACCGCCGCTGACGACGGTTCCCGGACGTCAACCACCCATGACGAACCGGACTCGGTTTCAAAAGAAAACGGACCGGATTTTTCGATCTTGAATGGTTGGTGTTGGTGAACCGGTTTGGAGATTGCCCATTTGTTTCTTTTTGCCATCTTTCTCTTCTTATATATGCAATATATGCATACACCCATCGCTAATAATATTAAAAATGATACCGAAGATATGATTATGATCCAAATTAACCTCCTTTTCGAACTGGGTTTTTTGTATTCCTTCACGGAATTTGGATCTTTGGGGTTACTATGCGCTGAAAGAATCTGGTGTGGCTTGACATGTGATTCTTTTGGGGCATGATGAACAGGAACAGTAGCAGTATGATTCACGGAAGTGTTTGAAAATTTGAACAACATTCCAGAGTTAATGAAAGAAGAATTTCCAAATCTTTGAACTTTCTCATACGGCAATACACCAGAGAAATTATTGAACGAGATGTTCAAGAAATTGATGTTCGAAAGTGGAGGGAAATCATCGGGAAATGTGCCACTCATATGATTGTTTGCAACATCCAAGAACTCTAATGAGGTCAGATTCGAGATGGGTTTTAAATCACCTGAGATATTACAGCTCGAAAGATCAAGATGTTGGAGTTTCTTGACAGAATTTAAACCAAAAGGTAAAACCTTTAAGTTATTATAAGACATATCAAGAACCGATAGGTTTGAGAAATTGGACAGATGAGCTAAGTTAGTGAACCTGTTAAAAGAAAGATTCAGAACTTGAATCGAGCTCAAACCCGACCCGGATTCAAACCCGATTGTACCTCCAAGCTTGTTCTTCGACAGATTTACTTCAACTAAATTTGGAATCGACCAAAACCATGCTGGTATATAACCTTTAAGAGAGTTGTTCGAAAGGTTAATGGTGTGGATGTGAGTTAAGTTCTTGAGGAACTTCCATGAAAGAGCTCCAGTAAGGTTTCTTGACGACAGATTAATCTCCGAGATTTGCGAGTTTGAGCAGACTAACCATGAAGAATTGAAATTGTAAACAGACATGAAGGCCTTCGAGATGATAACATGGTCTGTGTTGTTGCAATTTGCTGATTCTGATAACATAAAGAACGTCGAAAGAACCAGTGTTGTAACGAAACACGAAAAAAGATTCATATTCTTCGTGGGTCTTTGCAGCATTAGATGCTTGATCTTGTTGTTACTGTTGCTTTCATGGAGTTGAAGGGGGGGTTTTTGAAGCTGATAGAGGAGCAGATATGGTGGAGTTAGAAAGAGATAGAGGGAAGTGGAGTTGAAATGGTGGAAGAAGGTTTGGTTTTGTGAAGAAGAGAGTCATAAATTGAATAAAATAATATTAAAATAGTTTGTCACTTGGGATTTGATAAGCGTAACTCAAACATAAGGATACAAAACAAAGGCATTATGTGATTGTAATATGTCATAGTTATTCTATTTATTCATTATCAAACACATTTACATGTATTTTTTAGATTATTATATTATAAAGTATCTTAGATTGATAAGATTTCTTTCTAGGCTTGCAATTGGTACTTCAAAATGAAGATTTTTTTTACCCTAACTCTATAACTTGTGTTATTATATTATTATATTTTGTTATGAAATTATTTATAGTTATATATTAGAATATTAATTTACTATATTTCTTGAATGTTTATTCTAGTGATTAGCATGTGATAATTCATATTCAATTGTGCATCGTTTAAGGAGACGTATATTCTTTTGATATTAATATTAATCTATCTTCTTATGAGTATCATATATTAAAAACTTAATATATATAATTAAATCAAATTTGAAATTACAACATATACATTGATAATTTCACAATACAACTTTGGCTGTTAAATTGTATATTTTATTTTATTTTTTCGTTTGGAAAGATAATAACAATATATTGTAGATTTTCATTATTATTACATTATAAATAGCATATATAGAATTGTATAACTTATAAATGCAGTGAAAAATAGATAATACATCTTATTTTATTATTTAAATATCACATTATTATAATGTTGATACTTTGATATGTATTATAGATTATAACATTATGCATCCTAACATTGAATTCTTGTGGTTGATGAGTTAAATTTATACACAAGGTCCAATATTATAACCTAACACAACCAAAATATATTTTATAAATTGTTAATTAGATGTTAATATAGTAATTATATTAATATAGAAGCTATTACAAAATGATCATGACATGGATGAAACTATTTTATTATTACATGATAAAAATAACCTTACTACATAAATTATAAATATTCGGTATTGTGGAAGATATTTCGCATTATTTTCCTCAATCATGGCAAGATTATTTGAGTTAAATGCCCTTTGGAGTGGTATACCTAAAAGTCCAAAAATCAAAAGAACAGGTAATAAAAGCTCTTGTTTCTTCGTGCGTTTGGTTCCAATGGTGTCCATTTCATGACTGCAACTTGTGGGGGCTCACAACAATGGCTTTGAATGCTTTTAACATTTCACATTTCTTTTTCTTTCAAATTCTACTTTAACTTGGTATGATTATATATATATAAAATACAAAAAAAATCAATAAATGATTTTAAACAATAAACTATATATGAACAATCTTTTTTGCCCAAATACGAAAAAAAAAATGCACATACACGTGGGAAAACAATGAACGGTTTTAGTTTTTATAATATATATAAAAGTCAACTGGAAATTGGGTTTTAAAATTTGTTACAACATTAGTAATTAAACAAAGAAGCATAGAATTTGAAATCTTAAAAATACATATCGAACGTGGTATTTTGAAACTGAACGTAAGTGCTCAGACAATTGGTTAATTTTTACTTGTTTATGATCATTCTGCTACTATCATGTTGGTCTATAAAGATCTAAATAGTATATAAATTTATACATTTTTAGGGCTTACATTTGGTCCTCATCTCAAAGATCAAAGATTTAGATACTATAAATATTGTGATCAAAGATTTAGATACTATAAATATTGTTTGGTTTATAATTCAATATAGGTGGTTTTGCAAGCCGGTGTGTATAACACATGATGATGACATTATAGAAGAATAAAATCTAAATGAAGTTAAGTTCAAAAAGTCATCGTTTAAAAGAAATTTAGTACATTTTGACAAGATTTAAAATCCAAACTAAAACATAAACTAACTAAAAATTGAGATGTGATTCTTAGAATTTCTGATTTTACTTTATATGCATTTAAAACGAAATCAAATCAATTGAACCAAAATTGTAAAAGTGTTGGTTTGCGCCCCATGGAAGACGGTACAAAAACGAGGGGTGTTTTTTTAAAACTAGCGGCATCGTTTAATCAATTTAGTCGATAAAGGTGTTCTTATTCACTCATGTTTTTTGAATTAGAGTGGGTGATGGTACACAAGCACAATTTTGAAAAAACTCGACAATCGGTTTTATTATAAAGCAAACCATATATTAAAAGAAAACAACTCTAGCAATGTGTAAACTAACAAGTGAAAGACATATACCGATTATGGTTACGTATTATTATCAAAGAAAAGTACAAATACAATGAAAGGGAAAAACATAATATATAGAGTGGCAAATTAGGGTTTCTTAGTTAAAAAGCCCAATATAAACTCAATAAAAGATAAAGCTTAAAATCTTATTAGGCTAACACAAGGAACTAGAGCACAAAAAACATTACAAATTGTTCAAAGGATGTTGCATCCAATAAACTCATTTACTCCATCTCATTGCCAATCAGTGGGAGCGATTGATTTTGGTAGTGGCGGAGACCGATTAGCTAGAGAAGCGGTTGAGATGTCCCAATATGCTATTATGATGGAGTTGCTGTTTTTTCTTTACTCCACCACAGGTTCAAGACAAGTGGTTGTAGTCATTGGATACGTCTGAATACTTTTTGGTTAACTCTGTGCGGGTTCATATAAATGACGTGCTCCTTCCGAGTGGGAATTATCAGACTAGTTGAAATTGTTTTATCTTGAAAAAGGTAAACATTTTCAATTTGTAACACCCGGTTTCGAATTGCTTCATTATTCGGGCCTACGGCCCGATCATCAGTTATCATAAGGCTTGGGAGCTTGGGGAAGAAAGGATTTGACCCTTTTTGGATAAGGATGTTAAAGTTTAAGTGACTCGAGTGTTCGATGGTGTTTCGGAGCCCAAGGGCATAATCATAATTTGTTAACTCGGTCCTTTATGAATTTTGGGTTTAGTTCGGAGAACTTCAAGGCTATGATGGGTTGCTATAAGTTTAGGGCTTCTCGTCACCTTTCTGTGGATATAAAGTTCGTCGGAAACAGACTTAGATCGAGGAAGTTATGGCCTTCGGAGTATTTAGGGTTTTAGAGGGAACACTAGTACGCGGGGCGTACTGCTGCGGAGATCAGTACACTTGGCGTAAAGTGGTGTACGCAGGGCGTGCTGCGAAGGATGGTGCGGGGGTGAGAGGCATCATACGCTGGGCGTACGAGGAGTACGTTGGTCGTACGAGGGTCAGTTAAGGAAACCCTAATTTTTGTGTTGTGCCCTATATAAGCTTTATGATAGCCCCTTTTGGTCATTTCTAAGTCAGCCTCCATGCTCTAAAACCCTAATTCGACCCCCTAGCCCATGTTTGGTGATCTTGAAGTTCTTATGAGATTTGTGGAGGGTTTTGTGGATCTAGAAGAAGAAAGAGGAACTTGAAGACTTGTTCTTTGAATGAAAGCTTTGAGATCTAGCATTTGCATCTCCTTTTGGTAGCTTGGGAGGTATAAAGTTCAAACCTTGCCTTTTCATTTCATGGATATTCTTCTTGGTGCATTTTTGGTCATTTTGACCCCTTTTGGTTGATGAGTGAGAGTAAAAGTCGTTTCTGAAGCTTGAAATTGTAGATCTGGATATATCATGGGTTCTTTGGGCATAAATGTGCAAACTTTATGGTGGTTTTGGTTCCATGCAAGTAATAAGTCAAGTATTAAGCTCTTTTGAGCTCTAGAGTCCCATTTAGCCATGCATGCACATAAAGTTGGCAACTTTATGTGATTAACCACCTTGGAGAATTCAGATCAGAGCTTAGATCCAAGTTTTAATGGATTAAGTGATGCATTTTTAAAGATTGTCTTGGTTGGTGAGTACGTTGGGTGTACAAGTATGTACACTGCGCATACAAGCCTTCCATATTGTATGCTCATCGTACAGGCTGAGTACGCCCCGCGTTGTCGGCAGACTTGGGCTTTTTCATTTTGGGCTTCGGTTTGGGCTTGGTTGTGTTGGGCCATGTTGGGCCATCTGGATTTTTATAGTTGGATTGTTGTGACTTGCTGGACTTTTCTTGGGTAAAGGCCCATGGAAGGAATTGGGCCCAATTTGGAAAATTGAGCCATATTTGGGTCTTAGATGTTTATTTTGGATTTTTGGGCCTTTGGTCATCTAGTTGGGCCCATTGTAGACATGCCTAGTATTCCATCCCGAGGCTGATTGGACCAGGCATGAATATTTGAGCATGCATGTTGTATATGTTGTCTGTTTGTGTGGTGGTATTTTGGGGGAACTCACTAAGTTTTGTGCTTACAGTTTTGTTTATGGTTTCAGGTTCTTCAGATGATTCGTGACAAGGCGAAGGCGTGACCGTACACATCCTTGGTTTTACAACAGACTGAATCTTGGGAGACTCTGATTTTAAATCATGTTCTGGAAATAATGTTTTTGTAAACACTTTTGTTAATAAATGAGGTTGTTTTGAAAAGCTTAAATTTGTTGAGATTTTTGGGATGTTACAAGTTGGCATCAAAGCCTTGGTTTGAGTGAATTGGAGGAACACTTGTGTGAATCCAATCTCAAACTAAGGAAAAAGGTTTTTTTTAAATGATTTTCAAAGTAAGGGTTTTAAAAATAATTTTCAAAGTTGCTTTCAAAAAAACCAAAAGTGGATGAGATGTGTACGATCATCCGGAGCCAGTAAGTTGACCCCAAATTACCACACTGTTCTTTGATATTGTGATATGTTAGAACATCATGCTAGTAATAGGCTAGAGATCTTCAGGAATTGCATGATAGAATTGTCTGATTATATGATGCCTTATCTTTTATAGAATCCCTGATTGATTGTTGTATGACTCTTTCGCGTGTGAACTGGCTATTGAGTGAATACACTAAGTTACATGCTACATGGTTTATATGATCTTAGGATAAGGGATTTGGTCCTGCTGCGCAGCTCTTGTCTGAGTCCAACCGTTGTGGGATTGAGTCTTTTATCCTAAGATTGTTTAAATTGTGGGGCATGTGATTGTTATCATGCGATAGTCATCTGGAACCAATGAAGGGTCACGTGGCGGTTAGTGGTAGGGTGAGTTGTGTGGGGTCATCCGGCCAGTTGCGTTATTGGGTGAGGAGGCAATGGTTCCCTTAGAGTG